ATATATATATATATATATATATATATATCAAATTCTCCATGACACACATCAATTTTGTTTGCATTCTCACATCATGTACTCAATCATGAGTAACTATAGAAATATTTTTTAAATAATTATATTATTGGTATAATATATTTATTAATTTTATCAATAACTAATCTCTATCAACTAATTTGCTTAATAACTTTTAGTAAAAAAAAATTTAATTATATATTTTTGTATACACAAAATTCAAATTTAAAACTTTATTTAAGAGACAAATAATTTATATACTAGTGGATGAGATGCATTAATACAGAATTTTTGTATAATATAGAATTTATGGTGATATATAGATAGTATAAAATAATTTTATCTTATCAACTAATTAAATATCATCAATTTCTAGTTATTTATTACAAAAATTGATAACTTATCATAAATTATTTACAATTAGATACACCATCATTATATTACATATTTTCTCTAATATATATATATATAGAGAGAAACAACATAAAAATGTACAATATGTAACTTATATAAATTTTTATACTCATAGCTTCAACTATCATTTTATTTGTCAGAGTTTAATAGCCACAAACCTGAAAACATTCATCACCATAATTTTATACAACCAACCAATTAGAAATAATTGTATAATTTTTAAAATATTTTATTATAAAAACTAACAAACTTTATATGTATAACCATTTATTATGGAATATGACATATAACCATATAAAACATGTTACACTTATTATTCGAATTTTTTTTTTTAAAAACACAAGTATCTTATAAGAGACAAGTTTGCTCAAGTTAGGTATATCTTTTCACAAGTTGCATATCTAAACTCAATTTTGAAACTGAGAGCTTAAATTGGAATAACCCATAGAGCCTTAGAAACAAACTTAGAAGAACTTTTAAAAAAAAAATTAAAACTTTATTTTAAGCAGAAAAACTTTTCTTTTAAGAAGTTTCCTTTTTCGGAACACCCTATTAAACCAAATCATATAGTAAGGTTTGAGTTCTGTGGAACAATTAAAGAGAAAGAGTGAAGTGAGGGAGAGATGGCAACACAATGGTCTCTTTACAGGGATGTTCTGCCAGTTGTGGTGATTATAGGCAATGAATGCAATGACATGGGATTGCTCACACTCTTCAAGATAGCCACACTCCAAGGGATGAACAACCATGTCTTTGTGGCCTATGCTTATGCTATTGGCACCACTATACTCCTTCCTGTCACTTTTTTCCACACAAGGTTGGTAATTCTTTATTAATTTCAAATATTCACTAACAAACATCTCTGATCAATTATCATGTTTTGCTTTTGATCTCCCTTTGCAGAACAAGAGTGGACGTTCCTCCTCTCAGTTTCTCCATAATATCCAAAATCGCCCTTCTTGGGGTCATAGGGTAAAGCCACTTACAAACCACACTAATCAAGGGCTTTTAGTATAAGTTCTCAGAGTTAGTACTATTGCTATTACTTAATTATGATCCAAGAATCTCTTCAATCATATACTTCTAATATTAATCTCATGAATCATATAGTTGTAATATAATTTTGTGTTTTCTTCTTTTGTAATTTGATGGCCATATATATGTGTTGTAGAAGTTCATCTCAGATACTGGGTTATGTTGGTATTAGCTACAGTTCTCCAACACTTGCTTCATCAATCGCCAATCTAGTGCCAGCTTTCACCTTCACCCTTGCTGTCATTTTCAGGTAATTGTCAGTTTTTATTTCTTATTTATTGCACGAAGACAAAAATAATTTTTTTTAAGTAACTAAAATTGAGAAATTTTAAAGAAATGAAAAATATATGTTATCCATATCTAAAATTTCTTTCAAAATATGACGTCATGTATCACTGTCTTAGAAAATTAAATATCAATTTGGTTTGAAAAAGTATAGATGGAAGTGACACTCCAATGCTTATCGGGGCAAAACAATAATGACGTTTTGGGATTGACAATAAAGGTTCATCCAGAAAATTACTAATATATGACTAAAAAGAAAATTTTAAAAATTCTTAGCTAACATTTATTTGTTGTTTTATTTTTTTAATAAAAGCTATTTTATTAATTTATTTGACACCTGAACATCTTGTGTTCTTCGTCCTATATCTAATGAAAGATTAAAGTAATCAAACACTTTGATTAGTGGTCTCGAATTTAAATCTTTTATAAATACAAGGTTAAAAACTTATTTTGTCCCTTATAATAATTATTTATTTTAATTTAGTTTTATTTTTATTTTTAGTCTCAATGTGTTCTTTAATAAATTAATTGGTTGCAATGTCAGACTTCAGTCCAAATTATTTAGACGGAGTTAACTGTTAGCCATGTGGAAGCTATGTAGATGTCACGTGGAAGTTACGTAGATGTCACGTGAATGTCAAATTTTGTCATGTATCTGGAACCAGAATGGCCCGTTCTGAAACCGGAACGGCCCGCTCCGGTTGCACTTATGGTGTGTAAATTTTGCATCTGGAACGACCCGTTCCAGATGCATTATTTATTATCAATGAGTGCAACAGAACGGGTCGTTCTGAGACCAGAACGGGGCGTTCTGGCTTCCAAAACGAGCCGTTCTAGACTCAGAACAGGCCGTTCTAGAACGCCAACCAACATAGTACACTAGTGTGGTTGACAAATCGAAAGCAAACCATTTACACATACACAATTTTTTTTATCTAAAAAATAATATATTTAAAAAAATAAAAATTATATTCTAATATATATATATATTTAAATTATTGTATGTATAAAGTATAAATTTCGAGGAATTATTCATTTATATGATATTTGTCAAACTTTTGTACTTTCTATTTATTGTTTATGCTGATAAAAAAAATTAAAATTTTAAAAATTTATATCACATATTAAAAACATCTTTATATGATAAATAAATTAAACTTAATTTTTATAAGATTTAACATATTTATTTATATATTTTTATTAGTGTTAAATTATTATTAAGTAGGTTTTTAAGATTGTTATGTAACCAAACATTTTAAAAAATGTCTATGACAGATAAAGATATAATATTTATAACATGTATTTTTAACAAAAATTAGGTTTAAATTTGTTAAATTATAATATAACATAAGTGTTGTATACCTTCAAGCATTGATCAGCCTTACTTCTTATATATGAAGCTATACTTTTAAAAATTATATATAAAATTTTTAATATTACAAATATATGAATAAGTATTGTTCTCACGATCTAAAATTTCTAGATATAATCATTAGCTGTTTGTGTGGCATTCTGGAACCAGAACGGCCCGTTCTGAAATCGGAACGGCCCGTTCTGAAACCGGAACGGCCCGTTCTGATTTCAGAACGGGCCGTTCTGCTTCCAGATGCATGACCAAAATTTGACATCTACGTAGCATCTCCGTAGCTTCCACGTGGCATCCACGTAGCATCTACGTGGACAACAGTTAACTCCGTCTAAATAATTTGGACGGAAGTCCGATATTGCAACCAATTAATTTATTAGAGACTAAATTGAAACCAAAAATAAAAATAGGACTAAATTGAAATAAACAATTTTTATAAAGGACCAAAATAGGTTTTTAACCTAAATACAACTACAGAACTTGTTAACATAAATAATTCCTCGGTTCATCATATCAACTTTAAGCATTGAGGTTAATGAGATCTTTAAAGAAAATAAAATTATTCTACTGGCATAGAGTACTTAAAATTATAACCAAATATCTCAATCTACTATCCATTTATTTTGCTCTCTCTTATTATCCCTCTTACCATCACAATCAAGGATGGAAAAGTTAGCTGCAAAAAGTCGTAGCAGTCAAGCTAAGGTAATAGGAAGCATCATATCAATAGCAGGAGCATTTGTGTTGACATTGTACAAAGGCAAACCAATCATAAACGCTCACACCCATCTTTCCTTACTACTTCAACAACCAATTAACTTTCTTAAATCAGAGGATGCAAGTTGGGCCATTGCTGCCACTCTGCTCATAGCTGACTACTTTCTAACTTCAGTATGGTACATTTTACAGGTAATGTTAATCAAACCTCTAAGCCAAAGACGCCCCTTTACACCCTTTCAATTTCTTATTATTGTTAACTCATAATTATTAGATATTGACGGATTGTGAATGGATGTTAGAAGATGAAAGGTTGCGAGTTAATATGCATTAAGAAGTATTATTATTGTGTAACAACCAAATATTTAAAGGGTTATGGATATTATATCCATTTAGTGTTTTAACTAAAAGGTCATGTAATGTTATGTGTTATTCTGTTATAAATAGAGTATCAATTCATGTAGTTTGATCGGAGGCAAGTGCGGTACAATACAATCTCCTTGTTTTCTATAGTATCTCTCCATTTTTCTAAACATACATACTCCCTCGTATGAATCTAAATATAAGCAAATAAAACCAATTTTACATTGATTAAGAAAGTCCAATATATTTAAATTGTACAATTTCACATAGTAAGTTCACAATAGTATTCTCATTTATTAAGATAAGAGTAATTTTAGACTGAGAACATTAAAGTTGACTTCAATAAATTTTACTTATATTTTAGTCCAAAAAATTTAAAATTTTTCTTGCTTATAAATAGGTCCAGAGGAGTATCATATATGTTCTATCTCTTCATTTGTGGATAAAGATATGAAGATAACATAAAATGTGTTGTAGTGGAGTAGAAACAGGTTTGCAGTAGTTACCAGTTAAACCTTTGAGACACATTTTCATTATATTTCAATTGTGATAAGAACAGTTTTCCAGCTTGATGGTCCCTGAAAATCTATATACCAAGAAATTTTTTACCTGCACCTACTTCTTTCATTTCAAACTCATTACCAAGTTAAGTTTCTGACTTCTTAAGGATTCGTCACAGGATGCAATCAAAACATCAACATAAATGGTTTAGCCTCCTTTTATTGGTCACAAGAAAGCATTCTAAGTTTCTAACCATTAAAATGGATTGTGGTTTACATCTAAAATGAACATTATCCTTTGGTTTCAATGGCAAAGGATAAAAGCATAGAATTCTAGTCATCAACTTAACAGTTGACAACAAATAATCGATGAAATGATCAACCTTTTATAAATACAAGCTCAAACATCATGGAAATGTGAACAACTGCTTCCTTAGTTTTCTCATTAACACTGGCCTATTGCACTTCTTTATGTAAAAAAATTTCTTGTTACTTTATACTGAATGCTTCAAAAAGTTCTGAGAAATTTTAGTTCCCGTATTCATTTTGCAGGCAGATGTCTTGAAAGTGTTCCCGGATGAATTAACTATTGTTTTCCTTTATAACGTGGCTGCCACCATTACATCTACTGTTATAGGTTTATGTGCGGCAAATGCTAGTGCTTGGAAAATAGGACTTGATATTTCACTGATCTGCATTGTTTGCTTTGTAAGAAACCCTGCCAACTGCTGCTTCACTTTGACCAAAAAACACACCCTTTAAGCTTGCTGACACATTATTTTTTCCTAGGGAATATTTGGAAAGTTCGTGAGCTCTGTGGTTTTTGTTTGGGCAATACACTTAAAGGGACCTGTCTATGTAACATCATTCAAGCCACTCCAAATTGTTATTGCTGATGTCATGGGTGTTATGTTCCTTGGTGATACTCTTTACATTGGAAGGTATGGCTAACTCAACTTTTGCATTTAATTCTTGCTTTGAAGCATGGGGAAGCAAATTTCCAAGTATAGATAAATAAAGCAATTGCTATCTGACAAAACCAAACCTTATGAGAATGTGCTTTATGTAATAATCAAGGAAAACAAAACATGGTGGTAATGGACAAAGGTGGATTAGAAAAATCTAGAATTAATCACGTCAAGGAAAATTGTTGGAGATCCCTCATTGACCCGTCATAATAGTTTATATAAGTAAGAAGTGAGTTTTATAAAGTTGAATTTGGTTCCAAATTCACTTTCTTAGTGATTGTTGCTAAACTTATTAGATAACATACTTCAGATTACCCGCAAATGTCTATTCAAGATGTTCGGTTCTTAACAAAAGGAAATATTTATATTAGTAGAAAATTCCTTAAAAACTGATTTTATAAGATTAAGTTAAATACTAAGTCGACTTTCTTAGAGAAAATTGAATGGATAGCTACCAGAAAGAGACTTTGGACTTTGGTAGAGTAAAAGAAGTCATCACAGATCACTGTAGAAACAGATTCTTCCCCATATTTCCCTAACTGAACTTCTAGAACTGCCAATGCAAGTCCTTAATACAGAACTGCAACATCAATAGATAAACCTGCTGTATTGAAATTCATCCCTAATCTTAAACTACCCACTTTTTTGGCAATTTTTTTCTCATTTTTTGACTGATACAATATTGTCATAAAAAGAAGAAATTATGCTACATCAATGTTTGTTGAGGTAATTTTTGTTTTTTGCAGCATAATTGGAGCTGCAATAATATCAATTGGGCTTTATGGTGTATTGTGGGGCAAAGCAACAGAAGATATAGAGGAAGATGTTGGTCGCTCAGAATCAGCAACTACTGAGAATGTTCCTCTCTTGAGAGGCTACAAAACTGAAGCTTCTGAAATGAAAGCAGATGGAAATGTTTAAGAGAAAAAGTACAAACTTTTCACAGCTTTTAATATCCAATGAGGACCTAAACTGTGGTTTCATGGTCTCCCAAAGTGATCCAAGTGGTTACCCCTCCACAGGACAATGCTGTTAGCTAGGGATCCTTATTATTATTGTTTTTATTTTATATGTGAATCAAATCGCCTTTATAATTGTATATAATTAAAATTCTTAATAATTGTGTATAACCAGAATTGTTATTTTAGTTTGTACAAATGAATATCAACAACTTGTTCATCGCTTGCTGTTCAATTGTGGTTTTTCGGTATTTATTTAAACAATATATCTTTTATCTTTATTATTTATTTATTTATTATTATTATTATTTCTTTCCTTCTTTCTTAATTTTTTTAATATTTTATTCTAAAAATTGTTAATCAATCAAAAAGCAAGATAGATATAACTACTGAATAATGCTAATTGAACACGCAATTTTTCAAACACATCAACATTCTGTAGGAGTTATCTCTATTTTCTTACCACGTTAGATCATCTATTATATGTATATTTTTGTTTTTCTTTTATCTCTCTAGATGTCAAATAGTATACTTGGGTGTACAAAAATTATTTTAACATAACTTTTAGGAGCCATTTCGTAGAGGAAAGATTTTACTTGAAAATTTCATCGTGAATGTTAATTTTTTATATTTAGTTTATTATTTTTAAAAAAATACTATTTCTCAAGAATTATTTTTTGTATAGATTTTTTATGAAATTAACTTTGTCAAGATAAAAATAAGAGTTTGATTAAATTGTATTTTTAATCAATTTATTTTTATTAATTTGTAATTTTTGTCCTTCTATTTTAAATAGAGACATTTAATTTCTCTAAATTTAAAAATACAGAATTTTAATTGTTCTATCACATCTACTAATTATTAAGTTTTTAACATTTACTCATATTTAAGTAATATAATATTTAAAAATATGACATTTAAAAATAAAAAATTGAAAAAAATACAAATAAGATATTATTAATAAAATAAATATTAATTACTCGTAAAAATAGATATATACGAAAAAAAATTGTATGTTATTTTTAATTTTTATCCATATAAGTCGTTCTACTAAATATCACATTACTTAATCTTTTGAATGCCTTTTTACTTATTGCATATGGATGTATTTAAATTGGTTTGGTATAAAGTCTCTGCTCCATAATTCTTGCCACCTTCACTTAGCATAGTTTGTGGTTTACCTATTTGCTCTAGTGTGGATCGGTTAAGATGGTCAACTGTGTGGATGAATGTTTTATGGTCTCTTTGGATTGTTAGGAATGATGCTATTTTCTATGATATGGTCACATTACATTCTGACTTATTGGAGTTGATTCAAATACGTTCTTGGAAGTGGCTTAAGGCTAAGGATCTTTCTTTCCGGTATTCCTTTTCATCTTGGGTTGGTTCCCTCGCTGTCTGTCTAAATTTTTTGGACATATATTCGATTTTTGAGCATTTGAGTATGTAGTATGAGATTTTTTTAGCTTATTGTGCCTAAATTACTAGCAATATTATACTTGTGGGAGGTCACATACTGTCATCATCAAGGTTATTTCAAACACTGTCCTTGTGTGAAATCTGTGGTAAATCACTTAGTAATTGCTTTTTAGGTGTCGCATCTTCTTTTGTTGTGGTTGTAAAATAGGCACCGTGTTTTTAGTTGCTGCAAGTATTCTTTGGCCTATTGTATTTGTATATGGGGTTAGAGTACCCCTTGTACTCCTTTTTAATAAATCTCTTTTGCTTAGCAAAAAAAAAAAGTGGTCATAAATTAGTCGACAATGTCAAAATTTAATGACACATAAATATCAAATTGATGGGAGGATCAAAATTTCATATTTTAAAAAAAAAATAGGGAGACTTAATGTCCCTATTTTAAAATAGGGGAACCAAAACTATAGAACGACAAAGATAGAGAGACCAAAAGTATAATTTAGCTTAGAATTTTAATATAGTAAAATATCATGTTACTTTTATTTACTTATTTAGTGTAGTTTATTTGCTTATTTAATGCATGATTCTTAGGTACTTATAAACATTTCCAGAAATATTTATAACCAATCAAATAGATTTTCATGATTGATAATTGCCAAATATGTATACAATTCTTATTTAATTTAGGTTATTTTAAATATATCTTATACTTTAAAATCTTGTTTTTAGTTACATGTAATTTTTATTTCTAGGAGATAGCTGTTTAATATTAGGTATGTTTAATACTTTTTTAGGCTTAAAATATTTTTCGTCCTTCAACTTAGGGAAATTTATTTTTGGTCGTCCCTTTGGTTTAAAATTGTTGTTTTTAATTCATGTAATAGTCTCTCAAGTCACTAATAATATATATGAAAATTACACATTTAATTTAGTTAATTATTAAATGTATCTTATATTTTAAAATTTTATTTTTTGTCACATGTAATTTTTACTTCTAGGATGTAATTGTTTAATATTAGGTACTTTTAATATTTTTTTAGGCTTAAATATATTTTTAAATCCCTCAAATTTAGGATAAATTTATTTTTGGTCGTCCCTTAAATTTAAAATTGTTGTTTTTAGTCGATATAATTTTTAAAACTTTTGTTTTAATCTTCCAGACTAATAACATATATGAAAGTGACATATTAAGACAATTATGCACTATCATCTAGGTTTAATGTGATATTTTTCACTAATAGGAATACTAGCAGATAAATTTTATGCAACAATATTTGACAATTCTTAACAAAATTTGAATATAAGAATAAAAAAAAGATTTTTTTTAAATTATAGAGACTAAAAAGACATATTTAAAATTTAAGGGACTAAAAATAAATTTGCCTTAAATTTGAGAGACTGAAAATACATTTAAGCTTTTTTTTTTTAATTGAGGTGTGATTAAGGGATAATGTAACTTAGAAGCTAGTCTCAAAAGAAATCATTATTCCAAGCTCAATTGGACATGCTCTAAGTGAGCCAAATTTCGCTCAAAGTGCCTAATAGCTTGCTTTGAGTGAGCTAAGTTAGAAATTACATCTAAAAGATGAAGCTAGCTCGCTTAAGCGAGTAGAGTGTTCAGTCCAAACGAGTGAAATTCGTTCAAAATGACCAAAACCTAGCTTGAAGCGAGACAAGTCAGAAAGCATCCCTTGGAAAATGGTGCTAGCTTGAGCGAGTGAAAGTCGCTTAGAGTGATCACATGGACTCTTCAAGCAAGACAAGTCAGAGACCCCTCTAAAAGGATCGAACAAGCTAACTTTAGTGAGTTACATGGACGTTCTGAGCGTACGTACACAAATAAAAAGTTCATTTAAAATGTTATAAATTAGAGTTTTTGGGAGGTCTATGCATCTAATTATATTTTATGAACACAAATTTAGAGAAATTATAGAGAGTTTTGTGAGTAAACAGTCATGAATCACTCAAAAATCCTTTCTTATTTTTGTAATCCTTAATAATGAGTGGCTAAGTGTCTACTATTGAAGATTGAGGTGGTTATTGTACTCATGTAATTCTCTGTGTTTTCATTCGATAACATATCTTTATTCAAATAATCATTTTTACCTTATGCTTAATGCTTGTTTTGGCTTTGATAAGCCTATGCATGATTTTATAAATTTAACCAAGGTTGAGAAACTCTTTTAGAATTACGATCTAGGTAAAAATATTGATAATACTTAGTGTTAAGAATAGGATAAGTCTTATCAATCAACCTTTGGTCCTTGACCTTAATGCAAGTTGTTTAACAAAAATTACTAAGGAATTAAAATTTTCCTTAAACAACATAAAATTTCTTGCCTAAGGATTTAATATTTAAATATAATTGTGAGTTGTTGAATTAACTATATAATTTCTAACATTGAATAAAAATTTAAGAAGATTTTCATAGAAAAAATTAGTGAATCAATCTCCGACTGTTCTCATATTATAAAGTCAAATTCTTCATAGTTTATTGCATTCTTTTTACATTCATCAATTTATAAATTTTTCATATTTCAATTTAAACAATTCTTAATTTTCATTAAGTCATCTATTTAGTACAAAAATATAATTGAACAATTATAACTCGAGATCATGTGAATTTGATAAGGTAGATATCTGTCTAATTTACTACCAATGACAATTGATATACTTGTCAAATGCGAAAAATGATTCCTGAAAATTAGGATTCCCGAAAATCCAGATTCCCATTAATCATAATTGTCAGACATAAAAAATTTTATTGTGTACCATACAACCCCTTAGAATTTAGTGACTATGAGATAAGATTTTACACTACTAATTAATTATAAATTATGATAGGTATAACTTCTAAATATTGTTTTTTTTTTGTTGCAAAACTTAACAAATTTATTATATATTTATGACAATTTTTTATTTGATGACTATATATATATATATATATATATATATATAT